ATATAGAAAAAATTAGCCAGGCATGGTGGCCCATGCCTGTAGTCCCAGCTACACGGGAGGCTGAGGCGGGAGGATTGCTTGAGCCCAGGAGTTTGAGGTTGCTGTGAGCTAGGATGACGCCACGGGACTCTAGCCCAGGCAACGCAGTGAGACTCTGTCTCAAAAAAAAAAAAAAAATGACTTCAGCACCTACCCCATGCAAGGCATCCTGCCAGACACTGAGCCATCATGAATCTAAGACTGGAAAAATTACCAACCAGAAGCCACACACCATCCTTCTATGTTCTGCCAAAGCACAGGGTCCCGGCCACGCTAAAACAGGAACAGACATGTGAACAAATGCTGTCTGGGTGTCCAGACTCATTCCAGCTTCTCGACTACCTCTGCATTTAGATTCACCCATCCAGTCCTTAGGAAAAAGTGGAGTCTGCGAATAGCACCTGTTAAGAGTGTGGAGGGCTCAGCCGCGCCGTGTTAAGGTACCTATGCTACATCCCACTGGGCGAGGTGGAGGCGACAGGGAGGGAAGGATGAGAAAATCTAAAATTTGGTGATCATCCAATTCCTCCCTCCATGGCCTCCTCCTACTTTACTTCTTCTCCCTTCTGTGCTCTCTGGGGCCAAGAAGATCACATTCAATGAACACGTATTTGGGGCCCACTAGGTGCTGGGTCCTAGTGCCAAACAATGTCTAAGACACGAACTCAGACCTTTGCTCGGCACACACCGTTCCCGCTGCCTGGAATCCACTTCCTCTACCTGCACACATGGTGACAGCTTACACATTACCTCGTCAGAGACGTGCCTGCCCAGGTGAGAATGACCTGATATTCCTCCAGAGCCCCCGTGACAATTATAATTGCTGGTATGTTTGACGTCTCTCTCCCCAGCTGCATTCAGCTCGTGCGGGCAGCTCCCCACAAACTGCCTGGCACACAGGCCTGCGATATCTCTTTCTCGAATAAATTAAATGGCCTGTAAGGTAATAACACAAGCATGTCCTATGTGCCAGGTACCGTGCTGAGCTCCATGCAGACATTAGGTCATGACAGCCACACAATGGCTGCACTACTATTATTCCCATTTCACAGATAAAGGAAAGTGCATTTCCCCCCTATTTTTAAAGAACTTGCCCAAGGACACAGGCCTAACAAGAGCAAGGATTCCCCAGGTCACCAGGACTGAGATGCCCACTCCCTCTCCTCTTCCTCCCTCCTTTTGCCATGCTCCTGGTGACCATCTTTAACTCCTTCCTGAATTCTCAGCCTTCTATCCCAAGGCACCCAATTCAGAAGTCTCCCCCAACTGCTCCCCTCACATCCTATACCCCATCATCTCCCACACCCCATCTACCACACCCCCTTGGCTGTGCTTCAGCAGTACTCTGCAAAGACCCCAAGTGGAGCACATCCAAGCCCACAGCCTTCAGCCCCGCAGGGAGGGATGAAGTCTTACTTGTCACATTTTGGTGTGACTAGCATGTAGTTGCATCAAATGCTGGTCAGCCCAACGCCCAGCAAAGTGGGTGTATAGAGTAGGTAATTTCCCAACGAGCTCACAAATGAGACCCACTAGTCAAACCCAGCTTCCCTGGCTCCAATTCCTGCTCTGTCCCCCGCTCCCCTTTGCCTGTCATCTACAGAGCTGATGGCTGAGGGGTACAGATCATAGGCAGCCACTACAGCTCTCAAATGCATTCTATGTGGCATGAGAAGCCGGTGAGGACCCATAAGACCTAGGAGAACCAGGAAGAACGTTAATCCTTAAAAAAAAGTTCCAGCTCAGTGGAGCCAATTCCCAGTCGGCAAAAGAGGCCAGTTATAGAGCAGACGACATTACAATAGTGGACTCCAGAGCCTGGCCTGGGTCACCCAGGGTTTTCAAGACCAGAAGGTGCTAGAAGGAGAAGAGAAAGGCAGCAGAAACTAAAAAGGGTGCCAGGGACTGAGGGAAAGCACACGAGGGGGGCCGGGTCTTCTAGGAGTTACTTGCGGGAAGAAGGAAGGAGGGTAAAGGATAATCCTGCCCTGCTCTGTGACACGTGGCTAAGCACTTCCTTTCTGAAACTTTGAAGGGCTCCCTGTTGACTACACTGGGATCAAGTTCAAACTCCTTAGCGGGCCTTTAAAGATCTTCATGACCCAGGCCCAACACAGCCACATCTGAGAGGTGAGGCATTCCAGGCCTCCATGGCTGCCTGGTGTTCCCTCTACCTAGAAAGCCCTCTTCCTCCAGGGCTTGAGCACCCCTCACCTTCAGGGCCAGGAAGACTTCCGGCATGCCCTAGGGTTAGTGGGGGAAGAGCATGGGCTCTGAGGTCAGACTGCCTGGTTCAAAGCTCAGCTCCACTGGCCAGCTATGTGACCTCAGCACCGTTTTAGCCTTGACTGCCTCCTCTGCAAAATGCAGAAGGCGACAGCCCCCATCCCATCGGGTGGTGGGAGAAAGAAACACAGTAATTCATGAAAGCGCTTTGAACTGTGCCTGGCACACAGTAAGTGCTCAATAAACGGGCTGTTGTTCCTATTGTCCTCTGGGCCCCTTTAGGGCCCTCTGTCTCTACCACAACTAGAGCACTGTCTTGCACATATTTGTTACACGCTGGGCTTCCTCAGCCAACCACAACCTTTTAGAGGGCATGACCCATGACTCTGGCCTCTCCTCCCTGAGGCCCAGCACATGGAGGGCAGCAGTTGGTCTTCAGTAAGTGCTTACTGCCTGCAAGTACCTTGGCAGACCCCACACAGAGCTCTCCCAGGGCCCAGCTGCTGGCCTGCCAGAACTCACACACCAAATCCCTTCTAAAGGCCCTGAGCATTTGCTGTGACTGGTTTTCAAAACAATAAAGGGCTGTACCCTGCCTTGCCGAGGCTGTTTCCACTCCAGGGAATTTACAGAGAGAAATGAGCACAGCAGGGACTAGAAATAGCACTGAGCCCCTCTCCGGGAGAGGGCTGGGAAGGCCAGCCAGAAATTAGGAGCAAAACTTCAAAGACAGAGTGGGAGCAAACAGCCTCCAGACAGAAGCCTAAGCTCACAGAACTCGGCATCACGTGAACTGGGACAAGTGCATCACTCACACCCATGCTGCTGGGAGGCTCTTCCCACCCAGCTGGAGAAAGTTAGAAGGGGCTTCTTGTATAACCCGCCACCACCATGGGAGCAACTTACAAGACATCCAGAGTCCTGAGGACCACAAAAAGGCACCTCAGATTGCCCATGGCCTTGGGGTGAATTCACAGTGCCTTCTCTACCCACACGGGCTATCCAGGCCTCGCCTCTGGATCCGGGTCACTATCAATGTCCATCTCCCCAGCAGACTGGGAGCCCCTAGAAGGCAGACACACAGTCCCATTTATTTTCAGACCTCTGTGTCCCTAGCATGGTGCCTGGCACACAGTAGATGCTCAATAAGGTACAAGGCAAGAAGATCTGGCAACAAGAGAGAGGTCCTGGCTCAAGAATGAGTGCACCCAGGCCTGTCACAAATGGTGGACAAGTAAGTCATGAATTTCCTCTGGGTCTCAGTTTTCCTCATCCATGAAGAGGGATAACAACAGTTCCTTACACAGCCACCGTTGAGAATTACCTGGGAAAATATTAATATATGTGGAAAGCCTCATATGAACATCAGTCATCCTTCAAACTCCAACTCAACTGTCTTCTCTCACTGGAGTCTTTTCTGCTGGCCACAGTCCGCCTCCCCAGCACCAAACCCACCTCTGTACTCCTTCTGCTCCTTTGTTTTATATTTTTCACATCATTATGCTCACTTGTGTCCAAGGCTGATTCCCCCATGGCCTGAGAGCTCCTCAATGCCTGGGGCATCATGTGTTTATGTCCAAGTGGGCACACAGGCCTGGCTGCTGAGGCTCTCGCACCCCATGGCCCCAGGTCCCAAACTGAGATGTGCCAGAGCCTGGGGGCCCACCAAGCATGCTGAAAAGGGAGGTGGGAAGGGACACTGCAAACATAACCTGTCAAGGAAGTCACACCTCTGAGACCTGGGCTGCCTCTGCAGGTGCAGGTGAGCTTGTTTGCCTGCCTGACTCTGCAGTGCACAGGCCTCCAGGGCACAGATTGCTGCTTCTTTCCTTACAATAGCACCAGGCAGTCAGATAAATAATACATGGCCTTCACCTCACACACAGGTATCAGGCATGCAAACACCTGCTTTGCCCCAAGATGCCCTGGAAGAGAGGGAGGTGTGAAATGTCTGGCCTTATACGACCCCCCTCCAAGAAGGGATATGGACAGGAAACCCATGCCCAACCCCCCCAGCCTCACTGCCTTGCCTGGAGCCACATAGCACCTAGATTGAAGCAGATCCAAGCAAGGTACCCAGTGGTGTGCCCAGAGAGGAAATGTAAAACCCACAGCAAGGATACACACACCAAAGACCAGTCTCTAAGGTCCCTCTGGAGGCAAACATCCTTGGAGCTCCAGGTTCCAGCAGGTCCCCCTCCAAACACGTTCACTGTGTGCAAGGCGTGGACACCCTCCATTCACGATGCAACCGCAACCCCGACAGCCTCCCCCGCCAACCACCCTCCAGGTCACCGCCATCCGCACAGGGCACCGATGCCTCCCCCACGTACTCGGCCGTGCCAGGCGCCAGCATACCCACCCGGGCGCACCGATCCCACTTGCAACAGGCCTGTGCATCCACCGCCCCTCTCCCCAGCCACCCCCACGGGCAGATCCGATTACACTCCAGGCGCGGTCCCCGCCACGTTGGCGTGGAGGGGAGCGGGCACACCCACGGGCCGCCCCGCGACCCCGCAGGGCAGGAAGGGGCACAGGGCGGGAGTCGGGCGACGGACGCCTCCTCCCTGCTCGGCCAGGCTGGCCGTCTCCGTACCCTCCGCGCGGGGACCGGCGGCCGATGCAACCGCGGGGCGTCCCCCGCAGCGGCCTCTCCAAACCCAGCAGCCCCCCGCGCCCGGGAGTCCGCAGCCGCCCCCCTCGGGGCTCCCACGCGAAGCCGGCCGGCGGGATACCTCAAGAGCCCATGGCGGCGGCGGCGTGTGCGGGCGACGCGCGGTGGCCAGACTCTGCGGGCGGGGCGGGCTGGCGGCGCAGCAGCCCGGGTGTCTCGGCCGCAGCCGGCGCGTCCCGGGCCCAGCGGAGTGCCGCCGCGACGCGCCTGCGCACTGGGCGCGCCGCCGGGGAGGGCGGGCCGGCGAGCCCGCGGCTGAGATCACCGGCTGGGCCTTAAAGGGGCCGCGCTCCAACCCCAGCCCGTCGCCCCGCGGGTGGGGCCCACCCGGGCGCTCTGCTGCTCGCAAAATCGGGCAAGACCGGCCCCCAACCCCACCCACCACAGAGCTTCCTGGGGTGCAGGGACTGAGCCTGGGCTCCCATCTCTGTCCCTAACCCTAGCTAGTTGTGTGGCGCTTCACTTCTCTTAATCCTAATTTCCTCCATTTGAGCCTATTTTAAAGATGAGGGAAAATACAATGGCTATTTGTGGAGCGGAGGATGCGGGTCGAATTGTGGAATGAACGTCTACCGGGTGCTGTGTGCAGTTACTCGAGATGAAATTGCAAAGCACAGAAAGGGGCTTTTCCTTCCCACTCGACTGAGCAGCGCCCACCGCACTCTGGGCGGCCTCACTAGCACAAGTCTTCAGATACCGTCAAGCTGCCCAGCCCAGTTCTGTTAGCCAGGTCCACACCTGACCCGGGTTCACCGAAAAACAAAATGCAATCAAGTTCTGGCCGGTGACGTGCTCAAGATCCCCGAATGTACTTATGTCTCCAGCTCACATTTCTCCCCTCAACTGTCTACTGGGCACCTCTGCCTTGGAGGCCCAACAGGCATCTCAAAGCCAGCGCGTCCACAACTGAGCCCGCCTCCCCTTCCACACACAGAGAAATCTGCTAGCCTCCGCTCTCCCTCCACCAGCTCTTGGCAACTCCATCCTTCCACGCCAGAACTTGGAGTCATCCTTGAATTCCCTCTTCTGTCCCCTACCCACTCAGGCAGGCAGGAAATCCTGTTGGCTTTGCGTGCAAAATAGATATAGACTCTGACCTATCCCACGCCACCTCCTTGGCCACCACCCTGGGCCCGTGTCTGCCCAGGATTATTGCAATGTTCTCCCTTTCTCCAATCTTGCCCTCTGATCCAGTCGGTCAATATAGGAGTCAGAGAGATTTTTTTAAAACCTAAGTCAAAACATGGTGCTTCTTTGCTCTCCATTGGCTCCCATTTCACTCCAAGTAAAAGCCAAAGTCTTTATGAAACCTTGATCTGACAGTCACCCGCCCAGACAAACCTGACTTCATCTCCTACCTACTCTTCTGTCCTTCCACACTGACCCTTTGCTGTTCCTAGAACAAGCACAGTACATTCAGCCTCAAGTCCCTTGCACTGGCTGTTCCCTCTGCTGAGATCACTGTTCCCCCAGATACCTGAGTGGTCCCTCCCTCACCTTCCTGAAGAGTTTGCTCAAATGTCCCCCACTCAGTGAGGCCTGCTCTGACCACCCTAAAATTGCCAAACCCCGCACATGCACTCTCTATTTCCCCTTTATTGTGCTCTATTTTCCCCCATAGCATTTAATTTTTATCGTATACAGTTTGCCTGTTTTACTGCTTGTCTTCTCTCAGTAAACCATAAGTTCTATGAGGACGAAGATTTTCATCCTTTGGTTTCCTCATGTGGTCCCAGTACTTAGTACAGGGGCTGGCACAGAAAACATGCCCCAAAAAGTATTTGTAACATGAACAAGGACCCTGTAATAGCAAAGTCCTGTAGAAAAATTCCTTCCGAGCCCGGTAGAATGTTTTCAGGGCTGTCCCAACAAGAACTAACCTTATCAATTGCATTGTAATCATTTGTTGACGACTTCCCAGCTCTCTCTCCCTTCACACTGACCCGTTCAGGGCAAAGTCCTTGTCCCAGTTGTCACCATACCTGCCATACTTAGTACAGAAAGCTTACATCTGCTGCCACCTCTGAGTGTTCAGGCCAAACTATACCCGAATTTGGGTTCTTGGTCCCTGCTCCTCAAGGGCACACTTGGGTCTCAACTTACAGAGGCCCCAGGCTGGCGAGGACAGAGGCAGGTGGTGGGTATTTTTAGGCTTGAGTTGCCAAAAAGGAGCTCAAAGACAGAAAGTCACCTGGCCTGAGTGACACGGCAGATCACCAAGTGGTACTGGGGGCCCTAGTTAGTGCTTCCTGTGGGAGGAAAAAGCCCCCCCTGAGCCTTTGCTCAGGCTTTCTAAGATGAAGATAAACACCTCCTTGCCCTCGGTTCCCTCCCCCCCCGTGCACCTGCCCATCCCTTCTTTCTAATCAGCCTCAAAGATCCTGCTCACTTCTGTCCCCTCTCCTCTCCATGCCAGTGGCCACTACCCTGGCTTAGGCCACCTTAACTTCTGGACAACTTTATGTTTCCCAGCCTCCAGCCTCACCTTTACACCTGCCCACTGGCTAATGAAGAAAAAATGCTTTTCTCCACCACTTTCTACTCAGCAAACAGCTACTGCTTCTTCAAAGACCAAATCAGATATCACCTTTCGTTTCCTTCTTTTCTTCTTTCTTTCTTTCTTTCTTTCTTTCTTTCTTTCTTCTTTCTTTTTTTCCTTCTTTTTTTTTTTTATATGGGGTCTCACACTGCCACCCAGGCTAGAGTGTGGTGGCTCCATCCATCATAGCTCATTGCAGCTTCCAACTGGCTCAAGCGATCCTCCTGACCCTGCCTCAGCCTCCCATGTAGCTAGGACTACAGGCTAATTTTTTTTCTTTGTTTCTTTCATTTTCTTTTTCTTTTTTGTAGAGACAAGGCATCACTATGTTGTCCAGGCTAGTCTCGAACTCCTGGCCTCAAGTGATTCTCCCACCTTGGCCTCCCAAAATGCTGGGATTACAGGTATGAGCCACCACACTTAGCCTATTCCCAATTTTTTTGTTAGGGAGAAGCTAATTAAAACAGAATGGGGGTTGATGATATGATCTTATATCTAGAAAACCCCAAAGACTCCAGCAAGAGACTCCTGGAATTAATAAATAAATTCAGCAAAGTCTCAGGTTACAAGGTAACCTGAGGTACACAAGTCAGTAGCATTCCTATACACAGTCAATTTGAGAGTCCAATCAAAGACTCAATACCATTCACAATAGCTACAAAGAAAATAAAATACCTAGGAGTATACTTAACCAAGGAAGTGAAAGATCTCTACAAAGAGAACTATGAAACTCTGAGGAAAGAAATCGCAGATGACACAAATAAATAGAAAACCATATCATGCTCATGGATCAGTAGAGTCAACATGGTTCAAATGTCAATACTACCCAAACTGATTTGCAGATTCTATGCAATCTCCATCAAAATACGAACATCATATTTCACAGATCTAGAAAAATAATTCTACACTTCATTTGAAACCAGAAAAGAGCCTAAATAGCCAGAGCAATCTTAAGCAAAAAGAGCAAATCAGGAGGCATCCCATGACCAGACTTCAAACTATACTACAAGGCTATTGTAACTAAAACAGCATAGTATTGGCACAAAAATAGAGACATAGACCAATGGAACAGAACAGAGAACCCAGATGTAAAACCATCCACATACAGCCAAGTGATCTTTGACAAAGCAGACAACAATATACACTGGGGAAAGGAAGCCCTATTCAATAAATGGTGCTGGGAAAATTGGATACCCACATGCAGAAAAATGAAACAGGATCCATTTCTCTCAACACTAGCAAAAATTAATTAAAGATGGATAAAAGACTAAAATGTAAGGCATGAAACCATAAGAATGCTAGAAGAAAATGTTGGAAAAATTCTTCTAGATATTGGCTTAGGCAAAGAATTTATGAATAAGACCCCAATGGCAATCATAGCAACAACAAAAATAAATAAATGGACTTGATTAAATTAAAAGGCTTCTGCACTGGTAAGTAAATAATCAACAGAGCAAACAGACAACCTACAGAATGAGACGCATTCGATAAAGGGATAATAACCAGAACCTACAAAGAACTCAAGCAAATGAGCAAGAGAAAAACCAAACAACCCCATTAAAAAGTGGGCAAAAGACATGAACAGAACCTTTTCAAAAGAAGATAGACAAATGGCCAATAAACATATGAAAAAATGTTCAACATCGCTAATTATTAGGGAAATGAAAATTAAAACCATAATGAGATATCACCTTACCCCAGTTAGAAAGGCTTTTATTAAAAAGTCCAAAAACAGCAGATGCTGGCATGGATGCAGAGAGAAAAGAATGCTTATACACTGTTGGTGGGACTGCAAATTAGTATAACCTCTATGGAAAACAGGATGGAGATTCCTCAAAGAACTAAAAGTAGACCTACCATTTGATCCAGCAATTCCACTACTGGGTATTTACCCAAAGGAAAAGAAGTCATTTTATCAAAAAGACATCTGCATTGGAATGGTTATTGCAGCACAATTCACAATTGCAAAGATGTGGAACCAAGTGCCCATCAATTCATAAATGGATTAACAAAATGTGGTATATGTATACTTCGGAATACTATACCATGAAGACGGATGAATTAATTCCTTTTGCAACAATTTGGATGGAACTGGAGACCATTATCCTAAGTGAAGTATCTAAAGAATGGACAAACAAACACTGCGTGTACTCACTATTAAATTGGAACTAACTGATGAGCACATATATGAGGAGGGGAGGGGATGGGTAGAAACCTACCTAATGGGTACAATGAACACTACCTGGGTGATGGGCACACTTATAACCCTGACTTAAGCATAACAAAATTGATACATGTAACCAAAAAACATTTGAACCATAGTATTTTGAAAAAATAATAAAAATAAATAAAACAGAATGGGGGAGGATTGAGGGGGAGGTGGGATTAAGCAGGGGTGCAAGCTGATGAGTGGCCTGGGCCAGAGCATTCCTGACCCATTTACCTGCAGCCTCTGTGTCTTCCACTTATCCCCAAGGATGGGCAAACCCGGCCACATGCCCTGGGGGCTGTGTGGTTTGGCAGGCCGAGCACGGACCTGGCTCCATTACTTCCTAATAAGATGATTGTAGGCATGTGACTTTGCCTCTTTGGGCCTCAGTTTCCCCATCATTAAGTAAGTGGAGTGTAAGAATGGCCCACACGGCAGGGTTGTCATGCTAAATGTCGTGCT